ATAACACCAAACTTCTGCCCCACATTCTAATACTGCATTTTTTTAAACTATTCCAACCCTCTTCAACCCCCCCCCCACTACTCATCTTTGCACTAGCCCACCTTTTGCCAATAGTCGCTTATATCTCACCCGAACTTCCTCCTCCTTAGTTTATACACTTTCACCTCCCTCTTACTTTTTGCCCCCTTCCTCTTTTCCATCTACCTCTTACTCTAACTGTTGCTACAACTAAATAATGATCCGTTATATTTAGTTGCCCTCTATAAACATGTACATCCTGGAGCCTACCCCCAACCTTTTATCCACCCAAAACATAATCTTAATAAACTACTTTCATTACGTGCTACATCATACCTTGTATATTTATTTATCCTCTTTTTCATAAAATATGTTTTACTTATTACCAAATCTCTTTCTACACATAGCTCAATTAAAGGCTCCGATTTTCATTTACCCCTGGCACCCCAAATTTACCTACTTTCTCCTCTTATAACATTTTTACCCACTTTAGCATTGAAATCCCCAACCACCATTACTCTCACACTTGATTCAAAAATCCCCACGCATTCATAAATTTCCCAAAATCTCTCTCTCTCTCTACACTTCTCTCTTCTCCAGGGGCATACACGCTTATTATAACCCACTTTTCACATCCAATCTTTATTTTACTCCACATAATCCTTGAATTAATAATTTATAGTCCCCCTTTTCCTGCCATAGCTTATCCTTCAACATTATTGCTACTCCTTCTTTTGCTCTAAAATATTTGAAACCCCTGACCTAATCCCATTTATATCCCCTCCATTGAAACTCTCCCACCCCCCCCAGCTTTGTTTCACTTAAAGCCAGGACATCCAGCTTCTTCTCATTCATAACATCCACAATCATCTCTTTCTTATCATTTGCACAACATCCACGCACATTCAGACTTCCCACTTTGACAATTTTCTTTTTATTATTTTTAGTAATCTTTACAGGAAAAGGGGTTACTAGCCCATTGTTCCCGGCATTTTAGTTTACTTTTTTCAACACGCATGGCTTACGGAGGAAAGATTCTTATTCCACTTCCCCATGGATTTAAAAGGAAAAGTAATAAGACCAAGAACTATTAAGATAAAATCAAAGAAACTTAGATGAGTGTGTATAAATAAATGTGTACATGTATGTGTAGTGTGACCCAAGTGTAAGTAGAAGTAGAAGACGTACCTGTAATCTTACATATTTATGAGACAGACAAAAGACATCAGCAATCCTACCATCATGTAAAACAATTACAGGCTTTCGTTTTACACTATTTGGCAGGACGTAGAACCTCCCTGGGAGGTTGCTGTCTACCACCTACTACCATAAAGAATATGGTGTTTATTTGGATTTCACTAAGGCTTTTGATAGTCCTCACAAAACATTTATGAAAGTGGTAGCTCGTGGTTTCCTAGGGGGCAAAGTTCTAACATGGATCAAGGCGTGGCTGACCAATAGATTGTGGACCTTAAAAGACGTGCCTTTTTAAAACTCCTCTTCCTCCCATATCCCCTTAACCTACCCTGGTTTTTTCTTGCAGGTACCTTGCACAGATGCACATTAGCTTTTGCCTGCCCGTATGCCTATCAGTCCTCCTTGCCAAGACAGTCTCCTGTACCACTACCATTTTGCTTTGGGGTTTAGCCCTGGTACTATCCCTCTCACATACAACCTTTCCATCTCGCTACTTACTCTTCCCTATCTCCACTTCCCTGCTCACCCCACAAAGGTCTTGCCTATATTCTCTTGATCTTACCAATAGAAAGCAGTTTGCATTAATGGGTTCAAGTCAGAATGGGGACCAGTCACAAGTGGCATTCCACAAGGATCATTTTCGGCCCAGGTTTTTTATAATTTACATAAACGACTTTGACGAGGAATTACAACCGAAAACAGTAAATTCACTGATGGCACAAAAAAAATGCCAAAAAATTAGATTTGAGGAAGACACCAATGAGCTCCAGGAGGATCTGGATAAATTAATATCATGGTCTGAAGTGGCAGATGCAGGTTCATGTGGACAAGTGAAAGTCCTGATCCTTGATAACAAAAATAACCCTCATAATTATAAACATACACAATGTGATGAAGCTCTACATTACTTAGTAATAGGAGTCACGGTAAGCAAGAGTCTGAAGCCAAGACCAAGTGCCTAATTGTGCACAATACAACAGATTACTTGGATTTATATCAAGAAGTATAACAGGAATCCAAAAAAGGGATTTTACAATTCTTACGCTTAGATTTGCTGCTCACTCTTGGTTCCTTACTACAGAATGGATATAAATGCACTGGAGAATATACGGAAAAGCACGGCAAAAACTGATCCACTGTAAGGAATTTCTTACGAGAGAGCGCCATGGACCATCACTCGAGAGTGAAAGGAACGATACCTATCATTAACCCTTTCAAGGTCGAGATCCCCCGATCCTGAACTCGCTCTCAGTAAAAAAAAATCTTATGAAATGATAGAGAATCTTTCCCGATAGTAAAGACACCAAAAGTATTAAATTTGATGGAAAACTTATGGAATTAAGCTCTTGAGAAGTTAGCGGTCTCAACCCATATTGATGCATCGGCGATTCCGCCCACTGTGAGCCCTACTTAGGTCAATTCCAATGTTCCAGTAGACTAAAATCATAGCATTTTGCTATAACTCCATTTGTTCTATCGAACGAGTACAAGAAACCGCCCATTTGCCGATTTCAACTACCCAATGAAGTGGTCAAAAATTGGCAATTTGGCAATTTTCCACACAAATTTCAAAAGATGCCCAAATTTTAAAATAGGGTCCAGAAAAACAAGCAGACATTCCTGGCACTAAACACATTCTCCAGGACCCTCTTATAATACTATTGCTTTCCATTTTGAATTTTTATTCCCCAAAAAATAGAATAATTACTGTTATGCAGACTACTGCATTATTGTAAAAATGGTATAAATAACATCAGTGCGCTTGTGAAAAAATATTGACTCGCCAGCTGCCGTGTACTGGACACGTGGCCTGATTTGTTTACTCGTGAACACTGGCAAAAATCAAACATTTCCACTACTTTGAGCTCAATTTCAAGGTACTTTTCATTGTGAAACCAATCAAAATCATCTCTATTTCTGCAATTTATCTTCCATTCTATCAAATGAGACCAAGAAAATAAGAATACAACCATAAATACCATACAAAAATACACTGCAAAGTTGCTTCTTTAAACAAAAAACATGGCCAGAGTTTTTTCTCATTATGCACTGTGTGCTGCAGTATTTTTTTTACTGTGCACAATGACCATGCAGACCCATTCTTTCACATGTAGGCCCACCAGCTTTCTTCCGCTCGATTTGAAGGCACTAGAATTTATGCGTGAAAGTACAGCACCGACCCTGGCTCTCAAGCCGCACAAGTACGGCACCAACCCTTAAACAGGCTAAAGTATGCAAGTGGATGACGGGCATAAAAGCAATATAAATGAAGTACTGAGGATATCAAATAAAGAACTAGAAATGATATTTAAATTAGATAAATTTAGATTTAAAATGGACATAGGTAAATAGGTAGTTTCAACAGTTGTTGATGCATTGAACAATCTTCCAAGTAGGATGAACAAACAAAAGCCAATACCTTGGGTAGTCTCAGAGAAATTGGACAAATAAGAGTGAAAAGAACTGGGTCTGATTAGTACCTGAAGTACTTAACGTACCATCTATTCCCACCCACCCATTAGTGGATGGGAATGGTTGGTTTTGGAAAGGACTTGCCAGTACAGGCCAGTAGGACTGTTGCAGTTTTCCTCCATTCTTATGCTCTTCAGCTACTGCTGCAACTACAACTACTACCGTTGCAAACAACCACTACCACCACATAATATAACACCATCTTGGGTTCTAGGTAAATCCTTGCATAACTTTAAAAATTAGTTTGGAGAAATATACAAATTTTAGGTAGCAGGTTGGCAAACAGCAACCACCCAGGGAGATAAGAACATAAGAAAGAAGGAACACTGCAGCAGGCCTACTGGCCCATTCGAGGCAGGTCCAAGTCTCCTACCGGCTTAAGCCAATGCCCCAACCTAGTCAGGTCAGGTCACATTCACTTAAGGCACACAGAAACTGACCTAGTAGCACAAGCTAATCAGGTCCAACTCACACCCACTACCATCCTGCCAAGCGAGTGCAAAATGAAAGCCTGCAATTGTTTTACATGATGGTAGGATTGCTGGTGTCCTTTTTTCTGTCTCAAACATACAAGATTTCAGGTACGTCTTACTACTCCTACTTACACTTAGGTCACGCTACACATACGTGTACAAGCATATATATACACACCCCTCTGGGTTTTCTGCTGTTTTCTTTCTAGTTCTTGTTTACTTCCTCTTATCTCCATGGGAAGTAGAACAGAATTCTTCCTCCGTAAGCCATGTGTGTTGTAAGAGGCGACTAAAATGACAGGGGCAAGGGGCTAGTAACCCTTTCTCTTGTATAAATTACTAAACTTAAGAGAAACTTTCGTTTTTCTCTTTGGGCCACCCTACCTTGGTGGGATACAGCCGGTTTGTTAAAAAAAAAAAAAAAAAAAAAAAAAAAAAAGTACAAATGAAAGGAGTTGGATGTGAGGTCATGCCTAGAATGGGCCAGTAGGCTATTGTAGTACACCTCCATTCTTATGTACTGGTGCTCATTTTAGTCTTACCTAATTCAGAAAAATGAACTGTCAATCTGTAAAAAAAATTTTTATTTTTCAAAATCTTCCCACAATGAATTTTTTTTCCAGGGTCTCCCACAGTAAAAAGTAACTCACATCTGTAAAACCTTAAAATATAATCCCTGTCAGGGATTTAGCAAAGCCCTGATTAATTGAGAGTATCTTCCCCTTGATCTTGTGGCTGTGGGGGCGACTAATAGCTGGTAACATTACGGTAGGTATGTTCAGTATAAAATGTACCGAATTTTTATAGAAACTTGACTGCATTTTCAACTGATTATCTTACCAGTTCTTGTAGAAGCGCCTTTTGCATTCTTCTGAAAGATGCTCACACCAAACAGTTTTGAAGGTTCGCATACCTTTTGGGGTGTTTATGTAGCCAACAACACCAACACAAACCATAGGGGGTGTTTCCAAGATAGTTACACCTTCAACAACTTCTTTCCTGTTTATTTCTGAAAATAGAATGTGCTATATGCATTACTAAATAAGGACTTGCAGACATAATAAACACTAATAAATATAGTTTTGTAGAGTATATGGTTTTCCCTCTTGATCACAGCCCACTAGGAGCTTCAAGAAGTTATGGAATATACACACTCCAATCCTCACCTGGTTGGTATACCAGGGGACTGGTTAATCTCTGATGCCCGACATGGAATCACTATATGAACAGCTTCCAAAGTCGTTTTGTGGGTTGCAAGCGTAAGCCAGCTACCACAGAACATCAGGTTTCAATAAAGTAAAACAAAAAAATTACACCAATGCAAAACTAACAACCAGTGAACATTTACCACCTCAGATGGCAGAGCTATGAAACAAATAATTAAACACTATTCAAATCTTAAAAAAAAAAAAAAAAAAAAAAAAAAAAAAAAAAAAAAAAAAAAGCTATACCTGGGAAGGTCAGGACAGAAAACTTTAAGATGTTCATTATAATCAGGGGAATAAGCCATTAGGGGTTATACATCACAAGGGAAATTTGAGGTAATCAGGTTTGATCCAAGAAAGGGAATGGGAAGTCCACTTTCTGTGATCAAGAGCCCATTGAAGGCATCAAAGCACTGACATGGAAAGGTAAATGCATAGTCAGTGTTAAGCCAATGCATATGCATCCCCTTATGTGCACTACAAACTTGTATTTTAATTTTTTTTTTTTTTTACTTTATTATACAAGACAATTTCTTTTAAAAATGAAATTATTCAAGATTCTTTAACATACTACAAACTTGTGATGAACCTAAAACAGATGCATTATTGCAATAAGATTATACTAAGTTCTCATTTCCAAGGTAAAGTATGCTTTTAACAAGTCTTACCATCACCAATCATTCCAGGATATATTTGGTCTGAGAAATAGAGTAAATTTTTATTTGTGTGTGAATAGAAAAATTGGATATCACACTGGAGAGAGGGAGTGTGGAAGAAGTGAATGTTTTCAGATATCTGGGAGTCACCTTGTCAGCTGTTGGGTTTATGAAGGATGAGGTTAACCACAGAATTGATGAAGAAAAAAAGGTGAGTGGTGTGTTGAGGTATCTGTGGAGACAAAGAATGTTATCTATGGGGGCAAAGGGAATGTACCAACACTGTTATATGAGTGTGAAGCTTGGGTTGTAAATGCTGCAGAGGAGGCAGCTGGAGGCAGTGGAGATGTTCTAAGGGCAAAGTCTGGTGTAAGTAGTATTATGCACAGAATCCGAGTGTGGAAATTAGGTGGTGTGGAGTTAACCAGTTAGCCGGACTTGAGCCCTGAAAATGGGAAATACAATGCTTGCACTTTAAAGGAGGGGTTTGGGATACTGGCAGTTTAGAGGGACTTTTAAACGGTCGTATCTGAGCGCCTCTGCAAAGACAGTGATTATGTACGAGTGAAGTGAAAATGTTGAATGATGATGAAAGCATTTTCTTTCTCTCTGGGTCACCCTGCCTCAGTGGGAAACGGCCGACATGTTAAAAAAAAAATAAAGAAAATTTTGTTTTAGTACCAGAAATATCTACATTGTTTAGTTGATTTTGACTTCAAATTGATATTTTTTTTTTAAAATTTTGTGCAAATCGGCCAAATTAGCAATTTCAGTAGTATACCTTCCGCTGGGTCGCCATCTGGAGAAACCCAGGCCGGAAGTACCGGCAAGCCTACATGAACGAGTATACCTTCAATAGAACTGAAGGTATACTACTGAAATAGCTAAGAATTTAGTCAACTGAATTGGCCCAAAATAAAGACTCAAAGTTGGTGAAATTACCAAGGAGTAAACTGCACCGAGAACACTAAACTTATGCCTGTATAATTCCATAAGTTTTCCCTGACAAATTTCATACTTTTCATGCCATTGCCTACAGAAAAAGATTTTCTATTTCAGATTTTAAAAACAAGGGGGGAGGGGAGTAGAGCAACATTAAGTTCAGGGGTGTGGATAGTGAAAGGGTTGAGCACTATAATACATGGATTAACAAACTTTGCAGCAGGGGCAAAATCACAAGCTTAATTCTTGAACAACAAAATTTGTATTGAGGGAGGGAAATCGTCAGCAACAAAAGGAAAAATATGGGTGTGCTCAAAATATCTAGCACTCAACAACCGACATTCAGATTTAGGAAGGACAGAACAATCAAATTACAACCTTAATATTAACAGAATGGTACAGCTTAAGAAAAATGGAATTAAGGACTACAGATGCAGCATAATAAATTAGCCAAGGTGTAGAAGTCTATGGCAGTCTAAGATAGTAAGGTATATCAGAGAAAGGTTGAAGGACATATAAAGTGGTAAGAACTTCCGCAGGCAGGTGGCATACACGGATATACTGGCTCAGTTAGGACTAAGTGGTTTTTAGGATTTGAGTCTCGACTAAGCAAGATTACATTCATGAAGGAAATCTCTGGAGAATCTGGCAAGCCAGAATATTTTTAGAGGAAAAAATAATGCCTGCTCTCTTAGAGATGGTTGCAGCTTCATCCATACACTTCAGAGAAGAGCTATTTAGTGATGGTTAATGAATTTCCCTATGGGCCTCTTATCTTGAAAAAAAAACTATTTTAGATATGCAAGAACATGGAATATTTTAGAAAGTAAAGCTGCATTCTGAGTAGGCATACATTAAGCAAGAGTATGAAAGAAGGAATAATATTTTAAAAAGTCAAGCTGCATAGTGAGCTGGCACACAATTAACCCTTTCAGGGTCAAGAGGCCTTCTCCTAAACTTCTCAGGGTTGAAAATTTTTCGGGAAAAAAAAAAAAAAAAAAACCTCGGAGAATCTTTTCCCGATCATAATGAAATTTAATGGAAAACTTATGGAATTATGCTCTTGCGAAGTTAGCGGTCATGGCGATGTTTACGCATCAGCGATTTCGCCCACTTTGAGCCCTATTTTCAGCCAATTCCAGTGTACTAGTCGACAAAAATCATAACTATTTCACTAGAACTCCATTTTTTCTATCGAATGAGTACAAGAAACCACCGATTTACTCATTTCAACTATCAGTAAAGTGGTCAGAAATTAGCAATTTTGCCAATTTCACACAAATTTCAAAAGATGCCAATTTCCAAATAGTCCAGAATAAACAATACAGACACTCCTGGCAATAAAATAACATTTTCTCCATTCATTAGTCACGTCCCCACGCCCCTCTTACATTTCTTTTGCCTTCCACTTTGAATTTTTATTCTCACAAAAAATAGAAGATTTACTGTTATGCAGACTACTGCATTAGTGTAGAAATGGTATAAATATTAGGGCAGCTGTGAAAGAATATTACACTCACCAATTGACGTGTATTGGATGTGTGGCATGATTTGCTTACTTTTGAACTTGGCAAAATCGAACATTTCTGCTACTTTGAGCTCAATTTCAAGGTACTTTTCATTGCAAAACCAATCAAAATCATCTCAATTTCTGTAATATGTCTTCCATTCTATAAAATGAGACCAGGAAAACTAGAATACAACCATTAATACTATACAAAAATAAAGTGCAAAGCCACCGTTTTAAACCAAAAACACGGTCAGTTTTTTTTTTCTCATTATGCACTGTGTGCTGTAGGATTTCATTTATACCGTGCACACTGACCACATATACCCATTCTTCCATATTTAGGCCTACCAGCTTTCTCTTGCTAGACTTGAAGGCGCCAGAATTTACGCGTACTAGTATGTCAATAACCCTGGTGCTTAAGCCGTACTAGTACGTCGGAAACCCTGAAAGGATTAAGCAAGAGCATAAAAGATTACCTAGCATGGACCAGTAGGCCTTCTGCAGTAGTGCTCTATTTTTAGTCTTTGAACACAAAGTTTAACTCTTAAGGATATAGGCTATGGTAATTTAAACCACTATTTATAATTTACCAAAAAATTTAAGTATAGCAGTTTAAGAACGAAAGTACTAACACCAAAACACTAAATACTTACTGGAGCCAGGCTTATCAGCAACACGGACTATGTGAGTCATGCCTGCTTTGTAGCCAAGAAAAGCAGTAAGATGAACAGGCTTTGAACTGTCATCAAGAGGAAAAGCCTTCACCTTAGGACGATGACGCTTTGAGCGTTTCTTAGGATAGAATCCCATTGACCCATGACGGGGTGCGCTAAACTTTCGATGAGACTGTAAAGAAATGAAAAACTGACAATAAAAGACTCATTATGATTAATACACAGCATAATTCAGTTTTATAGGTATGGACTGCAAGGTTTTATTTCCTTATTATGAATATGCATTTCTTTATTATGGAATATGCATTCTCAACCCTCACACGAGCTACACTAGGAGACCAATTTGTCCAAAGCACAAACAATTACTGCACCAAAAAGTTCCCAAAATGGCTGAAGTGGACCTGTATTAAAATGCTCCAAATTGGTTAGGCCACTTACCTTTATTATCCCACCTCCCTTCCCCCACCTACCCTTTTCTTATATTTCCAGTCTTACCTATCCTTCCTTTCCCCATCTGAGGGCCCTGAATCTGCATTCTAAAAAGGCATAGAATTAGGGGGGGACATGATTTAGGAGTATAAATGGAAAAATAGGAATAAAGGGAATGTAAATATGCTAAAAATATCTATCAAAAGGCAGGACTCTCAGCAATGGTTTCAAGCCGGAAAAATTTAGATTCTGAAATGATGTAGGAAAGTACTGGCTTAGTAACAGTTGTGGATAAGTGGAACAAACTCCCAGGTAGCATCATTGAAGCTAAAACCTTGTCTGGTTTTAAAAATAGGCTAGATAAATACATAAGTGGGTGTGGGTGGGTGAGAGTTAGATTTGCCTCACATGGGCCAGTAGGCCTGCTGCAGTGCTCCTTTCTGATGTTCTAATTTACACACCATCATGTAAGACAATTGTAATCACTTAAAACTTGTTTAATTGTACAGGAAGGCCCCACTTATATGGCAGGTTAAGTTCCAGACTCCCACCGAAAAGCGGAATGTAGTCTTTTTTGCCTTAAAACGTGCAGGAAAGCCTGATAGCACGTTTACACTATCATATATAGTGGCACCTCGGGATACGAACAGTTGAAAATTCGAAAAATTATGTAGGTGTATTTATGTAAGTGCTTTTGAAGTGTATTTTATGAGTTGCAAGAGAATCGAAGACTAACCCAAAAGGATTCTTTCAGGTATACAGAAGTAAGATCAGGGACAAGATAGGCCCACTCAAAAGTTACTCGAGTCAGCTTACAGACAGTGATAAGGAAATGTGTAGATTTTTTAACACTTGCTTCCTCTCAGTTTTTACTCGAAGATACTAGCGATATTCCAGAAATAATAAATTATGTAGAACAGGATGATAAATTATGCACGATTAGGGTCACAAGTGACATGGTTCTTAGGAAAATTTATAAATTAAAACCTAACAAATCCCCAGGCCCTGATGAACTGTATGCAAGGGTTCTAAAGGAATGTAAAGAGGAGCTTAGCAAACCTCTGGCTAATCTTTTCAATATATCACTACAGACTGGCATGGTGCCAGATAAGTGGAAAATGGCAAATGTGATACCTATTTTCAAAGCAGGTGACAGGTCCTTAGCTTTGAACTATAGACCAATAAGCCTAACCTCCATAGTGGGAAAATTTATGGAATCAATAATTGCCGAGGCAGTTTGTAGCCACCTTGAAAAGCACAAATTAATCAATGAATCTCAGCATGGTTTTACAAAAGGGCGTTCCTGCTTTACGAATTTATTTACTTTTTTCACTAGGGTATTTGAGGAGGTAGATCATGGTAATGAATATGATATTGTGTATATGGACTTCAGTAAGGCTTTTGACAGGGTCCCACATCAGAGACTATTGAGGAAAATTAAGGCACATGGAATAGAAATTTTTTCCTGGATAGAGGCATGGTTGACAACTAAGCATCAAAGTGTTTGCATAAATGGGGAGAAATCAGAGTGGGGAAGCATCACGAGCGGTGTTCCACAGGGGTCAGTGTTGGGCCCCCTGGTGTTCACAATCTACATAAACGACATTGATGAGGGCATAAAGAGCGACAAAAGCAAGTTTGCCAATGACACCAAAATAGTCCGTTGAATTCATTCTGACGAGGACATTAGAGCACTCCAGGAAGATTTGAATAGACTGATGCAGTGGTCGGAGAAGTGGCAGATGCAGTTTAATATAGACAAATGCAAAGTTCTAAATGTTGGACAGGAAAATAACCATACCACACAAACTAAATAATGTCGATCTTAATATTACGGATTGCGAAAAAGATTCGAGTCCTGGTTAGCAGTAATCTGAAACCTAGACAACGGTGCATAAGTGTTTGCAATAAAGCTAACAGAATCCTTGGCTTCATATCAAGAAGCATAAATAATAGGAGTCCTCAGGTTGTTCTTCAGCTCTATATATCCTTGGTTAGATCCCATGTATCAGAAATCTTCCCTATGAGGACAGACTGAGGTCCCTGAATCTACACTCTCTAGAAAGGCATAGAATTAGGGGGGATATGATTGAGGTGTATAAATGGAAGACAGGAATAAATAAAGGGGATGTAAATAACGTGCTGAAAATACCTAGCCTAGACAGGTCTCGTAGCAATGGTTTAAGTTGGAAAAATTCAGATTCAGGAAGGATATAGGAAAGCACTGGTTTGGTAATAGAGTTGTGGATGAGTGGAACAAACTCCCCAAGTACAGTTAAAGGCTAAAACGTTGTGTAGTTTTAAAAATAGGTTAGATAAATACAAGAGTGGGTGTGGGTGGGTGTGAGTTGGACCTGATTATCTTGTGTTACTAGGTCAGTTGTCGTGTTGTACTGGCTTAAGCCGGTAGGAGACTTGGACCTGCCTCGCATGGGCCAGTAGGCCTGCTGCAGTGTTCCTTCTTTCTTATGTTCTTATGGGAACAAATTTGTTCGGCATCGGCACTCGAACAGCCTTCTGGAACGAATTAAGTTCGTATCCCGAGGTACAACTGTATTAACCCTTTGACTGTTTCCAATGTATAAGTACGTCTTACGAGCCAATGTTTCTGACGTATTTATACGCACAAATTCTAGCGGCTTCAAATCAAGCGCGAAAGGCCTGGTAGACCTACATGAGAGAGAATGGGTCTCAGTGGTCGGTGTGCACCCTGTGAAAAAAACCTGGGACCCAGCGGTGCATTGTGGGAACGCCATGTTGTTAGTCCATTTTCACCATGCCTCTCGGTAAGAAGTTCCTCACTCCTCGGCGGATTGGAGGTCTTTTGTTCCCAAGTGATAGCTCTAACAGCGATGAAAATGTCAGTGACAGTGAATTCCAGGGTTTTGAAGTGAGTGTTACCGGAAAAAGTGCCCAGGATAACGTAATTAGTGATGAAAACCCAGATGACCCACAACCTTCCACCTCTGGTGCTGGGCCGGCTTGTTCACGTTCACGTTCGCCTGTACCAGGACGAAAGAGGAAACTATTTGGTCGTGTACAACACCCAGATGTTAGCAGTGATAGTGATTTCAAGGTCACTGAAAGCAGTTCTAGTGACAGTGAGTGAATATTCCCCAGTGAAGCGGCAGTATGTACGACGTAGCATGCGGTCTGGTAGTGTTTCATATGTTGTTCCAAGGGGAAGGAGAAACTCTGGGAGCACATCCCGTGGCCCTACACCACGACCTGATAGTGAGGATGACGATATTGTAACGATAGGTATGAATGATGTGAGTGATGGAGCAGGCAGTGGTGGTGATAGTGAGGGTGGCACGGCCCATGTGGCACCATCAGCGGGCCACGCTGCTGACTGCACAACCAGCCTCACCGTACCCCACACTCCCACAACCTGCGTAACCACAACCACGGTACAATATCCAGACCCCACCAGCAGACCGCATCTGGGATTGGCAGGACGGTGACGAGTTTGTTCCCAGTCCCCATGACTTTGATGAAACACAAAGTGGAATAAAGCCATCTTGTCCACTTGGGAACAATGCCAGTGAACTGGACTGCTTTGAGTTATTCTTCGATGAACCACTGATGGACATCATTGTCAGGGAAACAAACACATACTGTGATTACACCATGGCAAATACAATTCTCACCAAAATCACGGCTACACAAGTGGAAGGAGACAACTGTGGCAGAGATGTACCTGTTTTTTGCCACAATAATGCTTATGCCACATGTGTATAAGCACACTGTCACCACATACTGGGCAACAGAACGCCTGATTTCAACTCCAGGTTTTAGTGACATTATAGGTGTCAATCGTTTCCTGATACTGTTACGTATGTTACACTTTTCAGACAAAACCAGGCCTGACAGAAGCGACAGGTTATACAAGATCAGAAATGTGTTTATGTACCTGAAACAAAAGTGCTGCTTGTATTTTTATCCCTTCAGGAAGCTTGTTATTGATGAGTCCTTGATTTTATTCAAAGGAAGACTCTCATTCAAGCAATATATACCAAGCAAGAGGAAACGCTTTGGTATAAAGCTATTTGTAATGTGTGATTGCAGAAGTGGTCTAGTTTTGGATATCATTGTGTACACTGGCAGTAATACTTTGAGAGATACCATGAAGTTATTGGGTATCTCTGGTGATGTGGTTCGAACAATGATGGAACCATATGTTGGTAAGGGGCATATGTTATTTACTGATAACTGGTACACAAGCCCCTTACTCGGTGATTTCTTGCGAGCGAGCTTGACAGACGTGTGTGGCACAGTGCGTCGTAATCGTAAACATATGCCAAGGTTCGACGCTGGCACTCGCAGGTGAGGTGCAAGCCTTTGATGCCAATGACATCATGGCATTTCGGTGGCATGACAAACGTGATGTCACATTGTTGACATCAGTTCACAGAAACGAAATGGTACCCAGTGGCAGGGACAACAGAGAGACCAACGAACCCATTCTAAAGCCTGCAGCTGTCATGGACTACAACCTCAATATTCACTTAGTGGACAAATGTGACATGCAGATTGGGTTTGCAGACTGTGTAAGCAAGAGTTATAAGTGGTATATAAAACTTTTTTTCCATCTTGTTGATATCTCTATGCTAAATGCTTATAACATATACAAGTTGAAGACCAACAAAACACCAAAATATGGTGAATTTTGCCTGTCAGTAATCAGACAAATAATTGTGAAGTACCAAGGAGCAACTCCTGCAATAGACCAGCGCCCACACACGTCATCTCGTTTCAGGCCTGGTGATCACTACCCCATACAACTGCCTCCTACTACTGCCAAGAGGTGTTATGTATGTATGCATACCACAAAACTCCCACAAACACGCAGAGACACTCGTTTTATGTGTGAGGAGTGTGAAGTGCCCCTCTGCATATACCCATCTTTCAAAGAGTTCCACAAGCTGCAGCAGTTCTAGGAACGTGTTTAGTGACTGTACATATGTATATATATTATGGAACAATAGTAATAAACATTGTTTTGTATTGTTTGTTTGTGTAAACAAAGTGTATACACAAACTAATAGTGATAAAGTTTGTTCTGTTATTGTGTTGTAAATAATGAGTGTATATTTGAACAATGCACCTTACATTGGTCTCACAGGCCACATAAGTTACCTGGAACAGAAAAATACTGAAAAATGCAAGAAACCTTTGAATTAGAGTAAATAAAAGAATACTGGGTGGGCGGCAGTCGCCGCTGTTGCCGTACGCACGTCACTTTCTGCAAACTTCGCGGCTCTATATCTCGGTAAGTACTGATGGCAAAAATTTATTAGGCTTAAAACACTCACAAAAATATTCCTAACATTTTCATAAGAAAAAATAATTTTTTTTTTCAAATATTTGGCGACAGAATGACAGTTTCAGAGAGGGGCCTGAAACAGTCAAAGGGTTAAGAACGTAAGTGTGCCACAGAGCTAGGCATAAAAAAATACAAAAATAAAATGAATGCACAGTGCTTACCTTAAAATATTTTTGGTCACCAAAAAAAATAAAAAAATTGGATTTGGCACCAACATCGCACATACTAGGGCACTGCCTACTGATAAAACAATACTAAACTAATTTATTATGAAGGAAAATATTGTAATATACCTTATTTTCATCCCACCAAAAATCGAGGTTGGTCAATTGTGGACATTTAATAAATTATCTGCCCGTTATCCCCCCCCCCCTTCATTGCTGAATGTTTCATGAAAATTGTTTCACTCCATTATTAATAGTGTGCCTTCTGTAAATAGGTCAATCACTTACTTTTGAGATATTAAGAGGAAAACATGACAGCACATTACTTTGGAGCAAATATTTTTAAATTTTTGAGTGACACTACGAGTAAAGGCATATGAAAGCCACTACATGCATTTATATATTACCAATGATGTCACCACATCAAATAATGTAGTTAATATCAATGCTAGACACATTTTGGTGTAAATCTCATTTTCCTACAATATTAACAGATTTTAAAATTATTTTCCTGCTAGATTAACTCATTTTCTGAATTTATTTTTTGTACGAAAAATGTTGAAAAGGCAGAATGCCATAAAGCTGGTGCCTCCTGTATTTAGTGCCCTAATTTGTTCACTTAGTATGTCAGAAGCTCCATCAACTTTAGCAAAAAACAGAGTAATATACATAACGTGCTGAAAATTTCTAAACAAGACAGGACTTGCAGCAATGAGTTGAAGTTAGAAAAAATGGGGTTTAGAAAGGATACAGTAAAGTACTGGTTTGGTAATAGTTGTGGATAAGCTCTTTGCTGATGACACTGTGCTCTTGGGAGATTCTGAAGAGAAGTTGCAGAGATTGGTGGATGAATTTGGTAGGGTGTGCAAAAGTAGAAAATTAAAAGTGAATACAGGAAAGAGTAAGGTTATGAGGATAACAAAAAGATTAGGTGATGAAAGATTGGATATCAGATTGGAGGGAGAGAGTATGGAGGAGGTGAATGTATTCAGATATTTGGGAGTGGACGTGTCAGCGGATGGGTCTATGAAAGATGAGGTGAATCATAGAATTGATGAGGGGAAAAGGACGAGTGGTGCACTTAGGAGTCTGTGGAGACAAAGAGGGGAATGTATGAGAGTATAGTTTTACCAATGCTCTCATATGGGTGTGAAGCACGGGTGATGAATGTTGCAGCGAGGAGAAGGCTGGAGGCAGTGGAGATGTCATGTCTGAGGGCAATGTATGGTGTGAATATAATGCAGAGAATTCGTAGTTTGGAAGTTAGGAGGAGGTGCGGGATTACCAAAACTGTTGTCCAGAGGGCTGAGGAAGGGTTGTTGAGGTGGTTCGGACATGTAGAGAGAATGGAGGGAAACAGTGACTTCAAGTGTGTATCAGTCTGTAGTGGAAGGAAGGCGGGGTAGAGGTCGGCCTAGGAAAGGTTGGAGGGAGGGGGTAAAGGAGGTTTTGTATGCAAGGGGCTTGGACTTCCAGCAGGCATGCGCGAGCGTGTTTGATAGGAGTGAATGGAGACAAATGGTTTTTAATACTTGACGTGCTGTTGGAGTGTGAGCAAAGTAACATTTATGAAGGGGTTCAGGGAAACTGGCAGGCCGGACTTGAGTCCTGGAGATGGGAAGTACAGTGCCTGCACTCTGAAGGAGGGGTGTTAATGTTGCAGTTTAAAAACTGTAGTGTAAAGCACCCTTCTGGCAAGACAGTGATGGAGTGAATGATAGTGAAAGTTTTTCTTTTTCGGGCCACCCTGCCTTGGTGGGAATCAGCCAGTGTGATAAAAAAAAAAAATAAGTAGATCAAACTCCTGAGCAGCATTATTGATGCAAAAACCTTGTGTAGCTTTTAAAAAAGGTTGGACCTGCCTAGCATAAGCCAGCAGTGCAGGTAAATGGTTTAAAGAACTGACAAATTGATAAACTAGACACATGTACATGTAGATTTATTGCAGTGTTCCTCGAGTAATGTATCACCACAAGAACGACCAGTCACGCTCACCCTAAAACTTGCATCATACAATCCACCTCAAAATAAAAAAAACATTTGCTAGCCCCCCCCCCCCCCAAAAAAAAAAATTAGAATTAACTTTTTGCCAAACTATGAATAAGGCTGCTTGGAGAACTGCATTTGTGTAATCTTAATCATCAGGACATTTATTAAAGGACCCCAATGAAATAGGTCAAGACTCTCTTGGGTTATCCAAGGTAATCTACGCACATGCTATGTATGAAAACTTATGTAACTATTTATGTGTACCTATACCTGAATAAACTTACTAAGGAAATATTTCCTTTAATACATGTCGTGAACTCTACACACAGTGTTCTTTTCCAGTTCTGATGGTATCACCCAGGGCTGGATTACGGTATGGGCTTTAGGAGCTGCAGTTTAGGGGCCTCCAACCCAGGGGCCACTGCCGGCTGGAAGGACCCAGAGATATTCTCAACTTACAATTTACTGACGTTTTGGAGAATTTAGTTCCCAAGAAATTGTGTCAAGCAAAAATCTTTCAATTTCAATTGTGGTCAGCCTTAACTTTCCCCTTTGAAAATATGACTGGGGCCCTGACAGTACCTGTACCCCAGGGGCCCACAAAATATGACTCGGGGTCCTGACAGTACCTGTACCCCAGGGGTGGACAAAATATGACTCTGGGTCCTGACAGTACCTGTACCCCAAGGACCCACAAAATATAACGGGTCCTGACAGTACCTGTACCCCAGGGGCCCACAAAATATAACTGGGGTCCTGACAGTACCTGTACCCCAGGGACCCACAAAATATAACTGGGGTCCTGACAGTACCTGTACCCCAGGGACCCACAAAATATAACTGGGGTCCTGACAGTACCTGTACCCCAGGGGCCCGCATAATAAAGCTGGGGTCCTGACAGTACCTGTACCCTAGGGGCCCACAAAATATAACTGGGGACCTGACAGTACCTGTACCCCAGGGACCCATAAAATATAACTGGGGTCCTGACAGTACCTATACCCCAGGGGCCCACAAAATATAACTGGGGTCCTGACAGTACCTGTACCCCAGGGGCCCACATAATAAAGCTGGGGTCCTGACAGTACCTGTACCCCAGGGGCCCACAAAATATAACTGGGGTCCTGACAGTACCTGTACCCCAGGGACCCACAAAATATAACTGGGGTCCTGACAGTACCTGTACCCCAGGGGCCCACATAATAAAGCTGGGGTCCTGACAGTACCTGTACCCCAGGGGCCCACAAAATATAACTGGGGTCCTGACAGTACCTGTACCCCAGGGACCCACAAAATATAACTGGGGTCCTGACAGTACCTGTACCCCAGGGACCCACAAAATATAACTGGGGTCCTGACAGTACCTGTACCCCAGGGACCCACAAAATATAACTGGGGTCCTGACAGTACCTGCACTCCAGGGGCTCACAAAATCTGGTGTCACCAGGAAACTGGATCTGTGCTCCAGTTTCCTGAATTAACCCTGAATACCTTCCATCCTCCCCCCCAACAGGCGCTGTATAATCCTACGGGTTTAGCGCTTCCCCCTTTACATAATAACCTGGTGTCACCATATGAACGATTGGGATTGAAAAAAAAAACCTAAGCAATAAATAACAAAAAGGCACAATACCGTGACTGGAACAATACACAAACAAACCGCACATAAAAGAGTGGCTGGCTGGATGGCGAAACGTCTACGATGGGGATGCCCGGGCGTTGTGCATGTGTCTTAATTTCATCTTGTCGGTATTATATACAATTCTTGTACTACTACTACTACTACTACTACTACCACCTCTTCCTGCCTATATATAGCCGTCCTGCTCCACCTCTGTTAGTGTAACTTTGTCAATGGTCCAAGTCGGACCGAAACGTCGTCTCTTTTATGTGCGGGTTATTTGTGTAAACCTAAGCAATGTTATTTGAAACTTTTAAATGCTATATTTATAGCTGCTGGATTGCAATGCTGTTGCAATTTGCTATAAATAATCGTGAGTATGAAGGTGTTAGTAGACAGCTGCTGTCCTCGTGGCTACCATCATCTATACTCACATTATATTACTATTACTTACTATATACACTCTCAAACTACCAATACACACAAACAACAGATAGTTAACACCTTTCTAGTGCACAACTATTCATTTCCCATTCATACAACTAGCAAAAAAAGTATAAATAATAAGAGATAAGCGCCGTATACCCTACCATGATGCCTCACACTGCTGGAAAGACCTGGTGTTGCTGCTGCTGCTTCCTAAGATGGCGGCCACCCTCCTCCACCGCTGCCACATCTTATATTCACCAGGGATATATAAATATATATTGTCTTACTACTCTGCTATATAAATTTATTTCAGTCATATACGTTTATATAAGAGGCGAATTTATTGTAGATAATGACTGTTTTTAATTGTTAAATGAATTAAGGCAATTCAAATTAAGTTCCGGCATATTATATTTAAAGCGGGGTTATACAAACGATAAATTTAACTTACAATAACATACATTTTAATTAAAATACAATAAAGGATAAAATAAACTCAACAAACATAAACAGCTTGCTTTATAGTGTAACTTTCTGCAACGTAACAACAAGCAATAAAACTTGTGTATCCAAAAAAAATCGCTAACATAAGCCATTAGCTCATATTTCTCGTGTCTTCTTTAAATAGACTCAATACTAGTGTTGCTATTTTGAGGGAATTTCTTTTAAATTTCTGGGAGAAACGACCTCACATGAGAACTTTTGTACGAGGACATTTATACCATAAAATCTGAGATTTCACTGTGGGAATTTAACTTTCGTGTTGAATTCTTTATGAGACTCATATCTTAATATCTTGATTATGCAACCTGTACCCATGGTATTGTAGATGGTAGTCAAAATCAAAATCAAAATGTTTATTTCCATCCTACTCCACAAACTTGACCACTATGGTATAAGAGGCCTTCCGCTTGCATATTTTAAATCCTACCTTTCTAATAGGTATCAGTATGTCACCATTAAAGACAGCCTCACCAACACGGCCACTTGATACTGGAGTTCCTCAGGGAAGTGTCCTTGGACCGCTGCTCTTCCTCATTTACATCAATGATCTTCCAAACATATCCCAACACCTGAAACCCATTCTCTTTGCTGACGACACGACTTATGTCATCTCCCACCCTAATCTTGCCACCCTCAACACCATTGTTAATGAGGAGCTGATCAAAATATCGACTTGGATGACAGCCAATAAACTTACACTTAACACTGGCAAAACCTACTATTTATTTATTTATTTATTTATTTATTTATTTATTTCCAATTTGTGCACACATACAGAGGTACAAAAAAAATACAGATAAGAGCAGTATGCCAAAGCCACTTATACTATGCATAGCATTACGGGCTGGCTTAAAATTAACTTAAGATTAACTAAGCAATGATTATTATTATTATTATAATCAAAAAGAAGCGCTAAGCCACAAGGACTATACAGCGCTGCTACTAAGCAATGATGAAATCAGTGATAAAACATTAATGTAAACAGATAACTATAAAGCACAAGTGAGTATTACAAAGACAGGTCATATAGTTGCATTCAGTTAGGTAGTGATTCTGTTAGGTAGTGTATTTAAAAATAATAAAGTTAGATTGGGTTTTAGGTTTAACATTTATGTGATATAATTGTGAGAAACATTTAAGATATACAATTTATAATGTTCAGTTATTCAGTATTTATTTGGTTTTGGGTGAGTAAGTAATCTTTGAGAAGAGACTTGAATTTATAAACAGGTTGTGTTTCTTTTATATTTACAGGTAATGAATTCCAGATTTTAGGGCCTTTTATGTGCATTGAGTTTTTGCATAGTGTGAGATGGACACGAGGAACATCAAAGAGTGATCTGTGCCTTGTGTTATGGTCATGTGTTCTGTTGAGGTTGGCAAGGAGATGTTTGAGGGGAGGGTTAATATCAGAGTTAAGTGTTCTATGTATGTAATAGGTGCAGTAATAAGTATGGATGTTTTGTATGGTGAGTAGGTTTAGTGTATTGAATATTGGTGGAGTGTGCTGCCTGTAGTGAGAATTTGTTATCATTCTAACTGCAGCCTTTTGTTGGGTAATTAGTGGTCTGAGATGGTTAATTGTTGTTGAGCCCCATGCACAAATTCCATAGGTGAGATAGGGGTAAATAAGAGAGTGATATAGGGCCAGGAGGGCTGACTGTGGAACATAGTACCGTATCTTCGATAGTATGCCTACAGTCTTGGAAATTTTCTTAGAAATTTGATGTATATGTGTATGAAATTTGAGTCTATTATCAAGGTGGATTCCTAAGAATTTTCCCTCTGTTAGTTTTGTGATAGGTGATCCATTTATCATTATGTTTGGTAGCAGAGCAGGTGTTGTGCAACTTAACATTAAGATCGACAACACTCTAATTACAAGACATAATGAGGGCAAATTCATTGGCCTATACCTCGACAACAACCTAAATTTCAGCACCCATATCCAACACATAACAAAAAAAAGTATCCAAAATGGTTGGGATCCTCTCCAAGATACGATACTACGTGCCGCAAACTGCCCTTCTCACACTATACCATTCACTTATTTATCCATACCTCACCTATGCTATCTGTGCTTGGCCCGGTGGCCTGGTGGCTAAAGCTCCCGCTTCACACACGGAGGGCCCGGGTTCGATTCCCGGCGGGTGGAAACATTTCGACACGTTTCCTTACACCTGTTGTCCTGTTCACCTAGCAGCAAATAGGTACCTGGGTGTTAGTCGACTGGTGTGGGTCGCATCCTGCGGGACAAGATTAAGGACCCCAATGGAATAAGTTAGACAGTCCTCGATGACGCACTGACTTTCTTGGGTTATCCTGGGTGGCTAACCCTCCGGGGTTAAAAATCCGAACGAAATCTTATCTTATCTTATCTTAACTGCAGCAACACATCTAAAGCCAATAATAAGCCAACAAAAAGCCGCAGTAAGAATAACCACTAAATCCCATCCCTTGCAACACCCCCCCCCCACTCTTCATAGATCTAAACTTACTCCCTTTTCAGAACATCCACACTTACTACTGTGCAATCTATATCTACAGGACCTTAAATTCCAATATTAATGTGGAAAATTGCATTTATCTGAATGTAACTAATTATGTACATAACAGTAAATGATAACAAAGATAATTATTATTTATCAATGTTACATAGACAAGTAGGAATTTGGGACACCTAGGTCGCAAAAAATGTCCCCCTTCGATACCTACCACTGTCATAACCACAAGTTGCTCTGGACCTATTAATTAAATGAAATATACATACACCAGGAATACTGGTAAATATATAAATTTGTGGACTGTATATTAAAAATAATAAATGGTTATATATATATACACAATTACATAACAGAAGGAAAATATATCTTAATATCACTCACCAATTTGACTGGAGATTAATGTGTATCATACTCAGAAAACCTCACTCTTAACTAAATCTATGAAAATAATGCTGGCCAGAATTACACACAAATCTAGAGAGCTTATCTGAGGTTCCTGGAGCTGTCTTGTCCAGTCGTCTGATAAGTTATGCAGGAATGCACATCCACCAATTTCGCCTCCTATTTGAGAGGTGTCAACACAATTTTAACCTCTAGAGCACGAAAAATTCTTCCCATTACACCAACGTTTGTACAAAATTCAAAACCAAGATGGCGAGTGTCTCTTCTTTTTTTCGATAACATACTTTTTTACAATATAGGGCATCTATTATCCTATAAATTACCGTATTTCTGGAAAATATATACAGTATTTTAAACCACAATTAACCTTGACCTAAAACGTTTTCTTGATAGTTGTGACAGGATCCACAGGCATAACACCAGACACAAACATCTCTATGACATTCCCCGTGTTCGACTAAACCTTTACGAAAATTCAATGTATTTCAAGGGACCTAAATTCTGGAACACCCTACCTGAAAACTCTAGAACTGCAGACACATTCATCACTTTCAAAACTACAGTTAGAAAACATCTTATCTCTCTGATCCACCCCGACAACTAACTACATGATAACCACCTGGTGGTTCACAATTACACTCACTCACCCACTGACTATAAACCCAGAAATACTAATCTTAATCTTAAAATAATAAATCCTAACTAGTCATGTTTGCCTATGATACTCAAATATAGACACCTTGTATTGTGCCAAAACAAAAGCATTCACATTGCTAAACTCACAAATTATGATGTAGTCACTTAGCCTTAATACCATAATCTGTAATGATTTAATGTTAAGAATTAATCTAAGTCTGCTCGAAATGCCTAGCCATGCTAGGTGTCCTAGTGGCCCCCTCCTGGAGGTTACCTGGAGGTTATTCCGGGGATCAACGCCCCCGCGGCCCGGTCCATGACCAGGCCTCCCGATGGATCAGGGCCTGATCAACTAGGCTGTTACTGCTGGCCGCACGCAGTCCAACGTACGAGCTACAGCCCGGCTGATCCAGCACTGACTTTAGGTATCTGTCAGCTCTCTCTTGAAGGCAGCCAGGGGTTTATTGGCAATTCCCCTAATGCTTGATGGGAGGCTGTTGAACAGTCTTGGGCCCCGGACACTTACGGTGTTTTCCCTTAGTGTACCAATGGCGCCCCTACTTTTTATTGGGGGCATTTTGCATCGCCTGCCCAGTCTTTTACTTTCGTAGGGAGTGATTTCTGTGTGCAGATTTGGGACCATTCCTTCCAAGATTTTCCAAGTGTAGATTATGATATATCTCTCCCTCCTGCGTTCCAACGAGTACAAGTCAAGCGCTTCCAAGCGTTCCCAGTAGTTAAGGTGCTTGACAGAACTTATACGTGCAGTAAAGGATCTCTGTACACTCTCTAGATCTGCGATTTCACCTGCTTTGTATTCCAGCCTAGAGAGAACAAGTGATTTGAAAAGGATCATCATGGGCTTGGCATCTCTCGTTTTGAACGTTCTCATTATCCATCCTATCATTTTCTTTGCACGTGCGATCGTGGCACTGTTGTGATCCTTGAAAGTGAGATTCTCAGACATTACTACTCCCAGGTCCCTTACATTATTTTTCCGCTCTATTGTATGGCCAGAGTCTGTAGTATACTCTGTTCTAGTTATTATCTCCTCCAGTTTTCCATAACGGAGTAGTTGGTATTTGTCCTCATTGAACATCATATTGTTTACCGTTGCCCACTGGAAAACTTTGTTTATATCTTCTTGGAGGTTAACCGCATCCTCAGCAGATGACAGCCTCATGCAGATCCTAGTATCATC